ATATATATATATATATTGGACCCAAGGTAAAGAAAAAAATATATTTTTTATTTTCCTGAAAGTTTTTTGGACAAACCCACATAAATATGACCCAGCAGAAGTTTACAGGAGATGGTTGAATTGGATTTCAGGTCGGTGTCATCACCTGCATTTCACACTGTGTGTATGTGTGGGTGAAAAATATGGGTTGATAGGTTTCTGTGCTTCTAAATCGAGCGTGTCAACCTGGAGATAAAGACTTAAGAGGAGGCCTGCTGACTTGTGAAAGTCATCGAGCTACCCTCAGCGCCACAACTCTTACAGCTGAAGTTAAAAAAAAGAAAGAAATACTAGGAAATGTGTTTGTGTGCAACAACAGAAGAAAGGAAAATTAAGCAGGAGTTTTAAAGTCTGGATGCAGAACGTACGACACACGTCTGTCACTGAGGTAGATTTCTGTGGATTTTTTTTCTGCCACCCCTACCTTGTAGGTTCGACAGGAGGGATTGAAGGCGTTTGTTCCACAAACAAACAAGGTGTCATCATTTTGCTGCAGGAGGACTTTGATGAAATTGTGACACTCGTCCTTCGGGGAAACGCAGGCCAGGATAAGAAACAAAGAGAATAAAAAGAAAGGAAGTCCATGGTGACATTTGTGTGTTATTCTTCTCATAGCTTGAACAACAAGATATTTCCTCTTTCAAATGTAGCATGTAAGATGAGTAAGGAGCATGTGCAACAAACACTGGAACATTTCGTCTGGGGACATGTTTGTGGCAGATTTTTATGTGCCTTTTAATGGCTTTCTCTAGCAATATTGAAATAGTAAATCTTTTTTTTAATCTTAAAAAAACAGTAACAGTGCAGATAAATATAAGAATTTTCACTAATGTGATTCATAAGATATAAGAGCAGAAACTCATAAATTACAAACAATATGTTATTGCAAATGTGCAGCCTTTTATCGATGTGTGTGTGTATAAATGTGAGAAATTAGGTGAGATACTCTGAGTTATTGAATTTGATCTAAACTAAACAATGTGTTTGACTCTGGAAGTGTTTTGTGCAACATAAAGTGATAGTTGTTGCATAAATCACATTAAGGTGAAGCTTCTTACCTTATGCTTTCCTTTCATTCTGCAGGTGTCCACATCTGGTTGTCTGGACTTCCACGTCATTTTCTGAAGACAAAAAAAAAAGACCAGAAAAACAAATAAACATTACGAGAGGAGAAAAGAAACAGACAGAGCTATTGCAGCTCAAAATTCTGCCCACACAGTGATCAGTAATCATTAAATATTTCCAATTATTGATTTTCCCTCATGAGGAAACTGCTCTGAGGTGAACTTTATTCTCTTGATGGACTGATAAACGGTTTAACTCTTCAAACTAAAACACTAACCTTAGATCCGAAAGGACCCCCACTGCATCTTACACACATATTCGTCACTGCCAAGTCTCAAACACTAACACACACACACACACACACACACACACACACA